CTCTCAAAAGAAATTTCAATTGTTGTACTATTGATATTTGGCTCTGTTGACTAATGAGTTTGCTGACCACTGGGCTAGAGCATAAAGCCCAGGCATTAATAAGCAGGTTGCTGCTTGAATCAGGAGCTGGTGCAATAACTTCTTAATTCTGTAGAGACAGTGAGGTGTCCAAGGATATTGGACCTGAAGGAACCTCGGTGACTTGGGGAGCGGTGATAGGACGTTGTGAACACCTGAAGTATGGGCAGTAGATACTATGAATTGCAGAGTCCATGGAATCAAGAAAGGAGAGGAGCCTGTTTCTGGGAAATTGTGAATCTCTCTGTTGAGTAGTAGAAGTGGTTTAATTATCTACTGTCATTACATTATGAAGTATTCACTTTAATTGAATTTCCGGATAACTGAAACTTAAGTGGCCAAACTTAAATTACCTTAAAATACGTTTTGATGTACATCATCCCAAAATGAATTGCACAGACTTACCTCCTTTCTTAACAACATATTGAAAACAGCTTCCCCTGTGTACATCTTTCATGGTTATCATTGTATAGAACTCAGGGATGCTCTGGCAGGAGATGTGTGGAGCTGTTACTCCCACACCGAGTGTTCCCATGTTGTTGAGCTTCCCACATTCTTTGGCTTATCCTTTATGTTGTAAAGAAGATGTTTTACCTGCGTTGAAATAGGGATAAAGGCTCTGACTATTTGCTTATATGATGGGCAGTGATCCCCGACCTATCTATTTTCATGAGTTGCATATGAGGAAATACATTAAATTTTTTTTTTTACATTTATTTATTGCATTTGAAAGAGAGAGAGAGAGAGAGAGAGAGAGAGAGAGAGAGAGAGAGAGAGAGAGAGAGAGATAGGAGAGAAAAGAGAGAAACTGATTTGTTGTTCCACTTATTTCTGCATTTATTGGTTGACCCTTGTATGTGCTCTGACTGGGGATCAAATCTGCAGCCTTGACATAATGGGATGACATTCTAACCCCGTGGTTGGCAAACTGCAGCTCATGAGCCACACCCGACTCTTTGGCCCCTTGAGTGTGTCTCTTCCACAAAATACCACTGCCTAGGTGAGTCTATTTTGAAGAAGTGGCGTTAGAAGAAGTTTAAGTGTAAAAAATTTGGCTCTCAAAAGAAATTTCAATTGTTGTACTGTTGATATTTGGCTCTGTTGACTAATGAGTTTGCCAACCACTGCAAACTGGGATGAGGTGGGAAAGCTGGCGGGAATGGAGGACACAATACTGTCTGCTCCATTCCTATTTCCCAGGGAGGAGGCTTCAGCCATATGGAGGAGGGAGGCTATAAAGCTGAAAGCCCATTTCATGAGGTAGACTGAGAAGGGTGGGCAATAAGTTTGATCCCAGGCTTGGGTACATAGAAAAATCAACCAACGAATACATAAATAAGTGGAACAACAAATCAATGTTTCTCTCTCTCTCTCTCCCCATCCCACATTCTCTTTAAAATCAATAAAACAAAAACAAATCCAGTCCAGAGATGCAATGGCTGTCCTTAGACAAGGGTGTGACCTTGCTTCAGATGGCTCTCTTTGGCTACGACAGTTTCTGGACAAAACTGAGCTAAACATTGTCAGTCACCAACACTCCCACCAGGCAGGAAAAGCACCTCCGTTTTGAAGGGGAGATCTGGGCAGTGCAACGTAGCACCCAGATACTTGATTGGATAACTCTCTGCTTCCAGTTCTTCATCCCACCTACCTCATCTAATCCCTAGGGCTGAGTAAGCTAATATGTGTGAAATGCTTAAAACGTCGGTAGCTCATAGTGAGGCTAGTGGAGGTGTTACTGTGTTTCCCCAAAAATAAGACATCCTTCGAAAATAAGACCTACTTACAGGTTTCCTTCTGAGTGAAATATAAGGCATCCCCTCGAAAATAAGGCCCCCCTAGGCTGAACATGAGAGATTTGGTCCACTGATTCTGAAAGAAATGGAGTCACAAGAAATTCACCAGGAAATTCAGGAATTGAATTGTTATGATGATGTTCCAGAAGATGATGACATGATTGTCATTGAATAAATGAGTAAATTCTTGATACTGTAGGATTCACAGTTTGTTTGGTTTGTGTTGACAACTACCGTACTACCTTACCGTATACAGGTAATAAATATCCTTTATTTTCATTTAACAATAAATGTGTACCATATTCTACTTCATGGAAAAATAAGACATCCCCTGAAAATAAGACCTAGCGCATCTATGGGAGCAAAAATTAATATAAGACACTGTCTTATTTTTGGGGAAACAGGGTAGTTATGGTCAAACCTGACATCACCAGCCCCACCTTTCCCTTATAATTCCTTTCATACTCTATGAGCTTGAAGGCTAATACTCTCATTATCAACTTTTTCTGATTTTCTTTGCAAGGGAAAAACCATCTGATAATATCTTAGTAAGAATTGATTTAATATTGTATGTATTTTGCATTTTAAATTTTGCCAGAAAAAAAGATGCAAAGTAAGTCCATACGGCAGATGAGATTTGGAGGATTTGGACATAGGCTGAATGATGTTTTGATTCTTAGCCTCCCTCAGAGCACCTTAGATAAGGACCTTCTGAATTAAGGGTGGGCTCATGCATGCTGCAGAGTTGGGAAGTGGTGGGAGGGGAGCAGAGCAGGGCCAGGTGATCGTGTCCAGCTGAGAAGGTCCTCAGAATCGGGTCTTTGTCTTTCTTTTCACCCTGAGTCTAGACCTAAACATTGCAACATACAATCCATAAATGTAACATTGCCACTTAATTAAATTGCTCCATTTCTTAAATATTTCGGAGTCATCCTTTTCAATATTTCAGTGTTTAAGTTCCATGAGTATAGAGCGGATCACATGGAGTGTTTTAAAAATTTGGTTTTGATTCAAAGTAATGTTCTCCTGGAGGCTCAGTCCCTGCCAATTCATTTCCCATTTACTTGGGGACGTGGCTACATTCTTTGGACGTTTATCTCCACAAATATGGACGTTTTATCTCCATATTTGTATGATGGGAAATATTTCATTTGGAATGACTTGCTTGCTCCCTCTTCCCCCGGGATGGCAAGGAGATCATATTAAGTTGCTTATTTTGTAGAAACTCTCTGATTGCCCTATTGACATTAACAGAGATAGTTAAGAATGTATGCCACAATCTTGGCTAGTGTGGTTCAGTTGGTTGGGCATCATTCCAGCCACCGGGAGGTGGCCAATTAGGTTCAAATTCCTGGTCAGAGAACATGTCCTTGGTTGCAGGCTCAATCCTCGTTAAGGGACATGCAGGAGGCAGCCTATAGAATTTGTGTTCTCGCATCAATGTTTCTCTCTCTCTCACACACACACTCTTTCTTTAAAAATCAATATACTATTAAAAAACAAGAGGAAATCCTGTGAACCCCTCTTTTGAATAAATTTTTTTTAAAAGAAGCCTTTCTTCAATCTATTTTTCTCCCAGTTTTAAATTGCTTATAGCCATTATCAAGGCCTTTTAAAGAAATGAGAACGCTGGAGTGAACCATGAAGAACTATTTGTCTACATATTTGTTATACAATGCTCTGTAAAAGATGAAGATTATATGGACTATGTAGTAAGCATGAAGCTGAGCATTGAGAAGTTTTTTCCTCAGTTGTTTTAGCTTTAACTTTGAATTTTGAGTTGAGCTCTCTGCTGTGGGTACCACACAGGATTCTTGTTACTTTTGTTACATGAGCAGCAACTTCATGAAGACTTTCTCGCTTCAGCAACCAGCAGCGCAGCGATTTTTTTATTTCTTCCTACTGAGATTAGAAATGTGGAGAACATTTAAGTTTTCACTTACACATTTTTTTTGGGGTCTTTTGGAAGGGTGAAAATGAATAAACGATTTAAGGTTGGCTAATGGATGTGTAAATGGTATTGTTTAAAGTGGCAAATATTCATCTTATTACAAGCCCTTTCTAAAAGCAAAGCTGACTTTTAAAGCTGTGTATTCGGGGGATTAAAATACATAAACCCTCTTTGTGAGCTTACTGTAATGGGAAACAAGTCCCATATCCAAGGAGATTATGCCAATGCAGTTTTTAATTCTCAAAAACATGAAATTTTGGCCTTAGTCTATATGATGTTTCACTTTGTAGGAGATACGAAGTAAGAAATAATATTTTGGACACAATTATTTGTTTTCTTCCAAAATGGACAGGGGTGTGAATGGTTTATAATCTTGTGTACTTAATCTCAAACCAAGCACAGCTTCTGTGTGACAGCTCTGCACAGCATGGCCTTCCTGAGACTCTCCATGTAAACATCACTTAATGCTCTCCTCTTTTTTATTTTTATTTTTTTTAGCTCGAATGTAGGTGGGTTTTAATAAAAAATTAAAAAAAAATTTTGTATTGATTGTTATAGAGAAAAGAAGGGAGAGGGGAGAGAGAAAAACATCAATGTGAGAGGGAAACTGATTGTCTGCCTCCGGCACGGCCCCTATTAGGAATCGAGCCTACAACCTTTCTGTGTATAGGACGATGCCCAACCGACTGAGCCACACTGTCTAGGGTTTAAACTTTTGTGCAGAAAATTTTTTCAATTTTGAGCCATCGTTTTGAGTTTTAAAGTGAATAAATTCTAACTGCATTGCCTCATAGATAAGAAGAAAAATTTGAGTAACCTAAATCCTTTTTTTTTATCCAAGTAGAATAGCTTATTACTTTCACTTAAAGTATTAATCAAAGTTAATCAATTCTTAGATTGTTAATCTGATTTTATATATGTAATGTAGTCATCAACACCTGAATAAATATGCTTGCTTATGTGATAATAGAGCAGAAATATATTAAACTAGATGTCTTTTATTCTTAAAGTTTTACAAATGAGATCTGTGGTAAATTTACTATTTATTTATTTTACTTCATTAAAAGCCAGAAGAGGAAAGATAGCTAACAAACATAAAACTACATTCCAATGAAACCTCATTGTTAGAATTTACATTTTTGTCTAAAAATTAAGGACCAGCATTTTACTCACAGGAAACTCAAAGTTGACCAGAAAGAAAGGAAGGTTCCATGTGGGTGTTGGCTGTTTGGCCTAATGGTCTAAATGAAATGGAAAAAGAGAGCATGGAGTTGTCCTAATGGTTCAGTTTCCAACAATAAACCTGGTGAGTTCACTTGAAGTGCGGTTTGCTGAAATTGATGATGATTTTTAGCACTTAGCTTCTTATCTCCAAAGCACTTTCCAAATGTTGAATAATTAATGGCCACAACCCCCATGTGGGGGTAGAATATCAAGCATGTCTTTCTGTTTACCAGGAAACCATTATGGCAGAGTCTGGAAATGTTGATTTTTATTTTTAGAGGTTTCTGTGCTTTCCAAGGTGACCAGCTTTAAAAATGCTGTTCTGGTTTTTAATCACAGGGTCATGGGAAAAGTAGCCAAGGATGTTGAAAACTTTTTCTTCACTGTTCCTATACAGATTTCACTTTTCTGCCTGCTCATCATTTTGCAATACAATTCTTTAAAAATGGAGTGTTAAATATCACTAAGCTTAGTCTCTACTATTAGTACAGTTTCTTTTTGTTTGGCAATACAGAATTTAGGAAACCTGGTGGAAATGTGAGAACAAATGTCAGTGGCAAAATCATGTTCCAAAAAACACACACCAGTTTTAATAAATTAAAGAAATGTATTTAAAAATATATTTTATTGATTTTTTACACAGAGGAAGAGAGAGGAATAGAGAGCTAGAAACGTCGATGAGAGAGAAACATCGACCAGCTGCCTCTTGCACACCCACTGCTGGGGATGTGCCCACAACCAAGGTACATGCCCCTGACAGGAATCGAACCTGGACCTTTCAGTCCGCAGAACGACGCTCCTCCACTGAGCCAAACCGGTTTTGGCAAGAAATGCATTTTTTTAAACAATAGTTTTTTGTAACTTTAACTTAACTTTGGAGTCTGAGAAATAATGTAGAATGTATGTATACTTATATATCTGTTTAGTAGTGTATTATATATACACTACTATGTGACATACATAGAGGACAAATTTATATTTAAAAGCTAGAGAACATGAAAGAACATGAAAGGCTAAGTTAGTATAAAGTGGACAATTGCACCATAAATCTGTAAGGAGTTTGAGACGAGAGGTCTTGAGCAAAGGTGTGACATGAGAGCCTAGAGCAAGGAGGGTGGCAGAATTTATGAGATGGGTTCTGGTGGCGATTGTGGCCTTTCTACCAGATAATACCTACATTAGCCAGACTAATTCCTGGCTTGTTTGTGTTGCCAGCGGCAGGATGTCTACTGATTACCTCTCTGGAGAGGTGCAGGATAAAGTCACCCTGGTGGACTCTGAAGGCTATGATCCCTCCCTCAGGTTCTCAACCTTTGACATAGAAAAGAGCCAGGACCTTTCTTGGAGAATAACTAATCCCTTTTTGCTTTGAAAAACTCACCGGATAACAAAGACAATGCTTTGGTGACTTTTTCTGATGAATACTGAGATTTCTTAGCATAAGATTAACACATTCCTTTCAAGTCCAGGAAGTTGTAGAAGTCAAAGGTGTCGTTCACACTTCAGGGGTCTATTGAATGTGTGGATGGGTTCTTAATCTTGTGTCCATGGCTGAGTTTTGGGCGGTGGTGGGAGGTGGAGGGGGAGAGGAAAGGGGGTGGCTCATGAACCCGCCAGATAGTGTATGCAGAATTTTTATGTATGTTTTTATTTGTTTTATGTATTATATGTATGTTTTTGGAGGAGTGAATCCAAAGTATTCATGATGTCGCAAAAGCTGTGACATACCCCTAACATTTAATATTCAATATGGACTAGTGTCCCTTACACTAGTTTACTTAGTCCCCTCCAAATAACAAAACAAAATATTTCCAGCTTTTTACTCCTCTAAAATCTAGATGAAAAAGAGAGTACAGTTTTGGTAATATTATTACATTTAAAATATTTTTTCTTGAAATACTAATGTTTATTGTATATAATATTATTATACTTAAAATCATTTTTCTTGAAATAAAAAAGAAAAAAAAGAAAAGAGATGAGAGCCTATCAGCTCCAGGATATAATGTCTAAAAATCGAATGTTTTCACATAACCAGAAACATCAGAAAATGCAATCACAACCAGTGAACATGGCTGTTTAACTACAGTCCATAAAATTTGGAACGGTAGTGATCAAGTCCATCTTATCTACAATCAGTCCCGGGGTTTCCTACTCTGATCAGAAGGAGGTGTGCCCAAAGAACAAGGCTACTTCAGTTGTAATTTCAGTTTGTAATTTACTTGTAGCTTACTTTCTAACGAGAGGCGTGTTTTGTTTTTTGTTAACCCTCACCCCAGAATATTTTTTTCCGTTGATTTTAGAGAGAATGGAAGGGAGGGGAAGAGACACAGAGAGAAACGTCTATGTGAGGATGGGTTCTTAATGTTAACACATGGATTGGTTGCCTCCTGCCAGCAACCCAGGTATGTGCCCTTGACTAGAATTAAACCGGGACCCTTCAGTCTGTGGGCCTACCCTCTACCCACTGAGGGCCAAACCTGAGATGCTTTGTGGGAAACTGCTCACTGAATATGTGATAGAACGCTTACAGGAAGTAGGGGAATTCCTTTCTTCTCTATGTGATTCCTTCTATAAGCAATGTAGCTGTTTTCCTGAATATTTGTAGATTAATTTATTTTTTGTAAAATAGATGATGCTTATGTAAAATTTTGCAAATAAGATTTTGATTACAACTCATTAGGAAAAGCTTGATATTTATTTATTTGAAGCTTAATATTTAAAGGAATACTGTAACATGAGAGAGAACCCAAAAACACTAGTGCAAAGTAAGCCCCCCAAATTTGGGTTCTTTACTTGAGTTCATGGTGACCTTTTGGTAACAGGGGTTCAATGTTTCTTTATATATTTATATTTTATTTTGAGTTTGGAATCTATAGCTTTCATCAGATTTTCAAATGGTCCTCATCTGGATATTTTGTTATAGCAACCTGAAGGGACTAAGACAAGGGCTAAAAGATCTGTTGCACACCATGTAAATATATTTGACCCTACTGAACTGTACACTTAGACATGCTACGATGGTAGATTTTAGTTTTGTGGTTTTTCACCACAATTTAAAAGAAGCGTTTAGGGATGAGTGATAAATATGTATTAGATTTGATAAATGTATAAGAGGAAAAGCAAGAAAGATCAAATTAGTAACTTAAGTAACTTGAAGGTCTGGGATTGAATATATTGGTTGAAATCTGTGGATAATCCATTAATTTCATTATGACCAATAGTTGGAACCATTTCACACATGAAATCCACATTTGTTTTGATTAGTATTATTTTTTTAAAGAAAGAAGATGGTTTCTTACCCTAGTGATTGGATTGATTTTTATTTCTTCTACCATATCTGTCTCCTGGAAGCAAATCACACATTGGCTAAGTATTCAGGCCCTGGCATCAGACCAGATGGTCACATTGCTTTGCCATTTATGGCTGTGGTCTTGGGCAAGGGACTTGACAGCCCTGTGTCCCTCATCTACAACGTAAGCATAACAATAGCACTGATCTCATGAGTAATTTTGAGTAATCAAATGCCTTGATATATATTGACAACAGTGCCTGTCTCATGGTAAGGACTTAGTAATTGTTAGTTTATTACTACTTTTGGAGTGATGCCTCCAATAAAATAGATAAGATACTGCAGGCCGAAAGGACAGTAAGAAGAAATGAGGTGTTGGCTGTATGCCAAACACTATAATCATCCCTTGAATAAATGAGAATTGACAGTTTGTAATGTCATTGACACTAGTCTGAAGTCTCATGGAGATGTTTCATTTGATTTAGTATGTCTAGACCAATGGTTCTTCCTTCCAAATAGAATATTGCTTAGCTTATTAATTCATAATTATAATGATTAAGAAAAATCTGTGTCTATCTGTAGGGATAAATTTATAGAATATGCATTTATATATTTAAAGAAAAGGAGGCTTAAAGGTATAACTCTGTTGATTTAAAAAAATAAATAGAGAAGAATCCAAGATGGCTGCTCGGGTAGGCAACTAGCCGCTGCCACACACAACAATTTCAACAAAATACAACTAAAATATAAAATGGACATTACCCAGAACTACAGGAAAGTCGACTGACTGGAAATTCTACAACAAGAAGCAAGGAGAAAACCAGAAGGAAGTGCGGAGGAGCTGTAAAAGCCCAAGGTAAGGAGACTCGCTGCGCGCACGGAGAGGACAGAGCCGGAGAGGAGGGAGGCCAAGTGCCTGGCTGGCGGTCCCAAGCGGGAAGGAGAGAAAAGCTCCGACTGTGCTGGGCCCAGCTCCAACTGCTCTGAACCCCAATTCTAGGCCAGACCCCGGGGACCCAGGCTCATCCATAGGGAGCCGGGCTGTAAGGCGGGACTCCGGGGAAGCTGCGAAAGGAGGTCCTGGAGGCGTGCACACTGCGCGCAGAGAAGGGCCGGCCGGCTGTGCCGAGGGATTGCCCTGACGGGAAGGAGACAGGGGCTCTAGACTGCTCTGAATGCCACCTCCAATCCCACTACCAACTGAACTGAACCCCAATACCGGACTCATTGGGGGAGAGCATAGACAGTTTGTCAGCAGGCGAAAATCGAGGGCACCTTTCTCTCAGAGGCGCTCGCAACAAGTACTGAAGGACCCTGAGTCTCAGGAGTCGCATAGGGCGGGGCTGACGGAAGCCAAGGCTGTAGGCTCCACCCTGAAACCCCGCCCCATCAGGAAAGCTGCCTGCGAAAATGCCTAAACCAAATAGATCACAAACGAAAGAAATGGAGGACAAAAAGCGACTGGATATAGAGTTCAAAACCACACTTATAAGGTTGTTCAAGAATCTCCTAGAAAAGGCCGATAAAATAAACAAGACCTATGAGGATATGAAAAAGGATCAACTAGAAATAATAAGGGATCAACAAGAAATAAAGAATACATTGTCTGAAATAAAAAATATTTTATGGAGTCCTAAAAACAGAATGGAAGATCGCAAGAATCAAGTCAAAGATTTGGAACATAAAGAGCCAGAAGACACTCCTCTGCAGACGCAAGAAGGCCAGAGAATCCAGAAAGTTGAAGATAATGTAAGAAACCTCTGGGACAACTTCAAGTGAACCAACATCAGAAT